TGGGAAAAGCCAATCGCTAAGTGTCGTGCTCGGGGACTTCTGATTAGGGCTCTTGGAAAGTCTCTTGTGGGGAGCATCCTGGCCTACAACACGTACGGCTTCACTGTACTATCGTATATTATGCAGTTCTACCCTCCATCTAATACGGCACTGAAAAAAGAACGGGATGTGGTCCAGTTGCTCACTGCCTCCCCGCGTTTTTCGATCCCGACGGACGTGCTGCGCGATTTCAAGGACCTACAATTTGGGGCTGAGGTCCGTTGCTTCCAATTGGTGTGTGACGCCGCCAGATATCGTGCTGCTTTTTACTCTTCAGCCTTCCACAGAGGGCGACTAACTCTTGAGAGCGCAGAGGCAAGTGACGAGAGGACTCTTACCCCAAGTCTTCCAGAATGGCGCTCCAATAGCATCCTGTACCAGATGATCTCTTTATATGATCGTATTTGGCGTATTCCTCAGGTTCCGCAAGCCCCCTGTGCTGAGCTCCAGAAGAAAACCGAGAAGGCCCTGAGACCCCATATGTTCAATATTCCTATGGCCAGAAGATTTCTTTCCAGAATGAAGTACTGGAGTAGTGATGCCACTGTGAGTGAAGCCAACGATTTTGTGTCGCAGTTGCGTGTAATAAATAAAGCATTGCCCGTGTTTATAGGAATTAGTGTTGTCAAATCCGTTTGCAACTCCTGGTGCACCACCCGTAGGTTCCATCAGGGGACCCTTTCGTGCCGTTCCGGGTGTTGTGCCGTGGGAGGTGACTCGCTCGAACACTATCTTGTTTGTCCCATCTATGTTGCCTCTGTCTCTCGCTTGCTTCCTGCTCTGCCCCCTCTCTGGTCACAGCTCAGCTTCCTTGATCGTGTTTTCATGCGTTCCCATACGTGGAGCACAGGTGAACAGCTGCATACACTAGCAGTTTCGCTTGATTTGGGGTTCAGCACATTCAACGCTCAGAGAATGGAGGAAAGATTTGACTCTGTTCATGCTGTGCAGCACCTTGAAGGGAGGATCAGGGCCTTAAGCAGGAGGTCGCCCGTGCTGCGCAGCCTCTGCGTGTAGCCGCCCGTCACCGAGGAGCTTCTTCATGGGGTCGGGTATCCCCCCCTCCCCCTCCTCCGCATCGAGCGTCAGTCTTCGCTCCTCGGCCTCAGCGTCCCGCCCTCGTTCTCGCCCTTGCACCCCCCATCGCTCCAGGTTCCGCGCCCGGCCTCGTCTCTGCCCTCGCCCTCGCGTCCGCCCTCGCCCCCGCCCGAGGCCATTTTTATTTCAGCCCTCTTTCTCGCCCTCGCCCTCGCCTTCGTTGTCGCCTGCGCTCCCGCCCTCGCTCTCGCCCGGAAGCACTTGCGAGGCCGCGCGTCCTCGCTTCCGCCGTCGTTGTCGCTCGCTCCCGCCCTCGCATTCGCCCTCGCTCAGTCCCGCCTTCGATCCCGCCCTCGCTCTCACCGTCGTTCCCGCTTTCGTTCCCGCCCTCGCTCCCGCCCTCGTTCCCGCCGTCGCTCCCGCCCTCGTTCTCGCCTTCGTTCCCGCCCTCGCTCCCGCCTTGGTTCCTACCCTCGTTCCTGCCCTCGTTCTCGCCCTCGTTGTTGCCCTCCTTCCCGCCCTCGTTCACGCCCCCGCCCTCGTCACCGCCCTCGCTCGCGCCCTCGTTCTCGCCCTCGTTCCCGCCCTCGCTCCCGCCCTCGTTCCCGTCCTCGTTCCTGCCCTCGTTCTCGCCCTCGTTCTCGCCCTCGTTCCCGCCTTCATTCCCTCCTTCGTTCCCGCCCTCGTTCTTGCCCTCGTTCCCGCCCTCGTTCCCGCCCTCATGCTCGCCTTCGTTCTCGCCCCCGTTCCGGAGCCGCCCGGAGGCCGCCCGGGAAACCCAAGGGCCGCCAGGGGTAATCAGACTTGAAACAGATTTCCGGCCAGACTTCAAACATACGTCAAACAGACCTTAAACAGACTTCACACAGACCTCCATCTGAGTTTGACCCCAGACAGACTTCAAACATACCTCAAACAGGCCTCAAACAGACTTCAAACATACCTCAAACACATCTCAAACAGACTTCCCGTAGGTTCCCCAGAGGCTCCCCGGAGGCACCCAGAGGTTTCCCGGAGGACTGAAGCGCTCGGAGGCTTCAGAGGCGCCCAGGGGAATCCCAGAGGCGCCCAGAGGCGGCCCCCCGCCCTCATATTCCCGCCGTCGCTCCCGCCCTCGTTCCCGCCCTCACTCCCGCCATCGTTCCCGCCGTCGTTTTCGCCCGCGTTCTCGCCCTCGTTCCCGCCTTCGTTCCCGCCTTCGTTCTCGCCCTCGTTCTCGCCCTCGTTCCTGCCCTCGTTTCCGCTTTCGTTCTCGCCTTCGTTCTCGCCCTCGTTCTCGCCCATCGCCCCCGCACTCGTTCCCACCCCAGTTCCTGCCCTCGCCTCCGCCTTTGTTCTTGCGATCGTTCCTACCCTTTCCTCTTGTTCCCGCCTTCGTTCTGGCCTTCGTTCTGGCCCTCGCTCCCGCACTCGTTCCTCAACTTTTCGTTCCGGCCCTCTTACTCAGTCCTCGACCTCGTTCCCCCTTTCGCGACCGCCCTCGCCCCAATCACCCTTCCCCTTTTCCTTTCCCGCCTCATTCTCGGCCCGCCCGGCCTCGTTCGATCCGTAGGCGCGCGCGCGCGTCGCGCTCGAGCGCCCGGATTGCCCAGGATGGCCTCCAAAGCGGCCGCGGCCCCCCCGCGAGGGCCCAAAGCTGCCTCCGCGCACAGCAAACACATGCGCACACGGACCGTAAGCAGCCCCAGGACCGCTTCAAACTATCCAACTGGACCCCATCAACAAACATAGAATTGACAGAGAATTTCGACGAGCAGCTGCACGTGCGCCCCTTGTCGTCTCGGCGGTTTTCGCGCCCTCGCCCGCTCCATCGCTCCAAGACGGCCGGCGAGGGCTTCCAAACCACGCATTGCCCCGAGATTCCCCCGAGAAAGCACCGTGGCACATGACAGCCCATCGGGCCCGCCAGATGGCCCTAGAAAGCCGCCCGAAGGGCCCTGGAGAGCGCCGGAAGCTTCCAAAACCGCGGCCCAGATGCGCCCACCCAATCAGCCTTCCAATGCGCCGTGTGGCCCGACAGGATCACGACGCCAGACGGCTCAGAACAACCCCGGCGTGGCCCAAAACAGCACCAAAGGTGCCCTTGAAGGACCGCCGAAGGCCCCTCCACGGCGTCCCCCCAGCGGCGCCCACGCTGGCATGGGGGCAACACCCCCAAGCCACAGCTCACACCCCGCTGAAATCCCGCCAGGCCCCTTCGCACCCCGCTGGGGCCTTGGAAATCTCCCGGGGCCTCCCACCGCCTCCAACGCCGATGAAACTTTTCCCCGCCCCTCCCCACCTCTCCGAACCAGCGCCAGGCCCCACGGCGTACCCTTTTTTCAGGCGGTTTCCCAGCCGCTTTACACCGCAAAGCAAGAACCACCACTAATCTGCCCATGCGCGACCCCCCCGCCGACGACGCAAAAACGAGGGGAACAAACATGCCTGAGCAAACCAAAGTGCAGAAACAATACCGGGCAAAACCAGCCCGAGCCGATTTTGATGCATTTTCGCCCCCCGGCCCCCACTGCTTGGAAAACTCGCCCCCGAATGCGCCCGGATGAGTTCCCGCTGCGGTCCAAATTGCTCCGACAACTTCTGTGTCCCTCCAAAGCCTTCCGCTGTCTCCGGGACCTTTTTTCCGAGCGTCCAGAAGCGGCCCCAATGCTCCACCTCCCCGAGCCGTCTCCGCCCTCGAACACCTCCCGAGTCCCCCCCGGGCCTCTCCATTCCCCAAGCCCATCAGAAACCTCCCATGACATTTCCCGCGCCCCCGAACCTTCCGAAAACTGCGGCGTTTCTCTTCTGCGCTGCCCGCCCCCGGCCTGCCCCGGGCGGGCGGCTGGGATTGGGGCGGCGGCCGCGGCGCGCGCCGTGTCGCGGCGCGGCAGCGAGCTGCCCTGAGGGACGAGCCTCGGGCGGGCCACTTTTCATCCAAGCTGCCGTTGTGCAGTTTTGGGCAGGGCCGCGCAGGCGGGGGGGCGTTTCCCCGCGCCCGCCGCGCAGGCCTTAGCCTTACCGTTGCCGCAGGGCGGCGTGCGCAGGCGGGCCCAGCTCGCAGTATTTCGCAGCTGGCGGCTGGGCCCCCGGCCATGACCTGCCGCAGGTCTTACGCATGTCTTCTATTGTTCTTGAAGACGCATGCGCACGGGGCCGGCCCGGCAGCGTTCTGGGCCGACGCCGCGACATTGGTTTCGGCAGGCCCCAACCGAATCGGAACCACGCTTAAATTCGAGTTCCCAGTCAGACCTGACTCAGACTTGGGTCTTAGGATCAGACTTGGGTCTTAGGGCCAGAATTACATCAGAGTTCCAGTCAGACCGAAATCAAAGTTGGTGCTGAGGGCCAGACTTGAATCAGAGTTCCAGCGCAGACATAAATCTAACCTTGAACAGAACTTTGGGCCAAAACAGAGAAACGGAGTGTGCCTCCAAAGTGTATTCTTAACCACGGGGGGGAGGCGGGGAGAGGGGTCCTGAGTTCCACTTATCCACAAGTGTCCACCCCCCTGTTCCCGCGTCCACGGGGGGGCGGCCCTCGGGAGGATGGGGGGGGCGACCCCCAGGGCCCTTCATGGACCCCTCCTTCCGCCTACCCCCCCGGCCCCCCCCCGCCAGGGCAGGGGTCAAGGGGAAGGGGCTTCCCATCGAATCAATCGCGAATCTGTTTGATTTCCATGTGGCGGGATCGCTCGAGGAGGGCCAAAGGCATGGGGGGGGGGCGTCGACGGCGATGACGACGACTCAAACGGACAAACTTGTCACACACGCCGGCAGAGTCGGCGGATTTCCGATTTTGCATCTCTCCCTCACGCTCCTGTTTCCTTGACCCTCATTATGCCATCGTCTTGCTTATTGTGTTCGTATTCCTCAGCATTCCGCGCGTCATCTTCATCATCCTTTTCGGGCGAACAGCGCCGCGTCATTTGCCGTTTGTCTCCCATGGCGTGTACGGGCTTCAGACGCCCCACGCGGGCTTTGTATTGCCTACCCATCGTGATATCGTCGATGGCGTTGGCAAGCTGAAAGCCCACGCTGCTGCTTACCCCAGTGTTAGCAGCCGCGATCGATTCCTCAAGCTAGAGAACGACATGGCGGACACCGTCGCCAAACGTTCCCTTTCGCGCCACCCCCAGCCCAATGAAGAAGAGGTCCGCGGGTTGGATCGGGTTTTGCAACTTGCAAGAGTTGTTGTTACTTTTTTGGAAGAAGCTTCGCATGCACCAGCCTAAAGAATCTGGACCTACCCTTGCTGGCGCGCGCTGTGCAGTCTGTTGTTGTCGTTCGTTCTTTGCGTGCTGAATGTGACCGATCTGCGGCCAGGCTTGCACCCTCGTTGCGCAACATGCATGCCTAACATAAAACAAATCACGCCTTCTCCTGTCCCTCGTCCTTCGTCCTCTCTCCTCTTCGTCACCCCCCATTGATTTTGCCATCTGGTCCTAACATTACGCGTTTCCCTTGTCCCCCCTCCTCCCCTCCCCGTGCCACTCGTCCCCCCTCTTGAAAAAGACTTTGCGTCCCCCCCCCATGGAAGCTCGAAACTTAGTCACCCTGGGCAGTTTTCTGCAGGCTCCAGGCGGCCGACAGTTGCCATAAGCTTTCCGTCGTCACGTTTCTCTCGGCGCGGGGAGGCGGCCAAAAAAAAGGCGGAGGGTCGCCCGCGATCTTTCCCCCCTCCCCACAGTGCTGCGCCGACCGCGCACCGCTGCCGGCGCAGGACCGCGGTGGCACGGCTGGGGGGACGACGTTGACGACGCTGACGACGACGACGACGAGGACGACGACGACAACGACGAGAACGCTGACGATGACGACGACGACGACGACGACGACGACGACGACGACGACGACGATGACAACGACGACGACGACGGCGGCGGTGGCGGCGGCCGCGGCGGCGGCGACGACGGGTGCGGTTTTTCAGCCTGTCGCGATCAGAGTGCAGCCCCTTGGCGGCGGAAGCAGGAGGGACTCAGAGGGGGACGTTGAGGAGGATGGCCGAACGGAGACGTGGGAGGAAGGCGGAGGTACATCAGGAAGACTGGAGGGAGATGGAGCCGGGGAGGGACGGAGGAGGAGGGTGAGAACGGGGAGAGGGGTACTTCTATTCTACAAGTGAGGAGGGGGAAGGAGAGGGGGTGGACGAGGAGAACGAATGAAGGAGGCAGCGGAGAAGGGGGATGACTGGGATAGCGCCGATTCTTCGCACATGTACTTCATCGGAGTTCCACGGCCTTAGTCTTCGCATTCCAATGTGCGCACAGCGTCCGCCCTGGGCCCAGGCATCATAGGCATCATGCCCAAAGGGAGGCTCACTACGGCCCCAGTGGGCGCTTTGGCGCACTCCCCCATATCAGAGTTGGCCCACACTGCACACGTGTTGGTCCCCTTTCGCGGCCTTTTGGTTTTTGTTTCATATGTGGTCATGGAGCCAGTTTTGCACACCCCGATGGAGATTTCTTCACGGCCGATGTCCAATTGCCACGAGCACGTATAAGCGAGAGCGGATGGTCGTCCATACATCCAATATCCGTAAGGGCTTCGCCCCATGCCGCCGGCCCCCTGTCTCGGATAATGGGAGATGCAAAAGCTAAATCATGAGGTCTGGGCGCCGCCGTGAAGCAGTGTCGGGACCTGTTTGTTTTTGGACCCTCACCCTACAGATCTGCGTCCCGGGTGCCACCGAATTTCAGAAATGTGGCAAATCCCTTGTGTTTTGGGACCCTGACCCTACGGATCTGCGTGAGGGGTGCTGCCGATGTGTTCAGAAATGTGGCAAATATCCTGTGTTTTTGGACCCTGACCTCGCCGATCTGCGTGAGGGGTGCCACCGAATTTTTCAGACATGTGGTAAATCCCATTATGTTTTTGGACCCTGACCCTGCAGATCTGCGTGAGGAGTGCCACCGATTTTTTCAGAAATGTGGCAAATCCCTTATGTTTCTAGACCCTGACCCCGCCGATCTGCGCGATGGGGTGCCACCGAATGTCAGACATGTTGCAAATCCCGTGTATTTTTGGACCCTGACCCCGCAGCAAGAAGTAGAATTGTAACAGTTGAAATTGGAAGCTGCAACTGGTGCAGGAAACTGCGAAGCTTCTGCCTACAGCCTGGTGGCCCCACAAGGGGGCCGGCGGATTCAAGCCCGCGTTGGGTCCAATGCGGCATAACGTATCCGAGGTTTGGAAGGCAACCTGTCGCGTACCCGTAGGGCCGTGAAACAGCTGGCTCGACCCCGCAAGGAGTACAGACGTGGTCCCCGCACCCGTCCTGGCCCACCCTCACACGATTCGCGTCCCATAGGGGGCCCTGGATACAGCCTCAGTGGATGTGATTGTCTCTGGTTCCCGCATCCGAGCGTTTGTTTCGGTCCACCCCTCAAACGTATGTTCCGTACCAAAGCAGATGTTTCCCCTGCAGGCGCGTTAGCATGCGCTCCGTTGACAGACTTGTTTGACGTTGTACCACCCCACACACCCCCACACCCCTGGGATCGCTCCAGGTAGGCACCAGTGGACGCGTGAACACGTGGTCCCCGCACCCGCTGTGGCCTACATATCACACGTTCTGTGCCCCATTGAATGGCCCACCTAAGGCCCCAGTTACCCCGTTCGCATGCGGCTTCCGCATCCGTTGTGGTCCACATTGTACAAGTGTCGCGCCGTAAAGCGAGACTATAATGCGGCGACAGTGGGCGTGGCCCTCAACTGGTAGAGCCACGCCTTGTTTTCGTTGCACCTGCAAGGAAGAATTGGCTTCTTCGCCAGGCACCTTGCTCAATTCTCTGGTGGCTGAGGTGCCGTTTCTGCCCTCACTCCTCTTCCGAGACGCTCAGGATGCCGAGGGCCACGCGTTTGCTGCGGATGGCCCGCCTTGCTGCGGACGCGCGCTTAGCAGCGCATGTGGATTCATCTCAGAGGCCTGGAGTCCGACCGCTTCAGCGATCTCGCTGGGGATGAGGGAGGTGCGTTCCCAGTCGGAGACAGGGACCCCGAGTGATGCCTATTGGATGATGATGCCTCTTGGATGGGTAAAAGGATGGATCTGGGACTCCTCAGGATCGGTCCTGGGCCCTACCTCTTGCGACGATCGACAGCATCGAGGAGAGAGGACAGGCCGAAACATGGAAGTCCCCTCGGGGTCTCCCGCTGGGCTGGGCCACTCCCCCGGTGCCGAGCTAGCCGAGGCCCTGGCCCGTTCACCTTCGTGGAGCTCTTCGCTGGCATCGGGGGCTTCAGACTTGGGCTGGAGGCGCTCGGAGGCCGCTGCGTCTTCGCGTCGGAGATGCACCCAACCGCCAGGAGTGTGCTTGCGGCGTCGTCGGAGCAGTTCTCGCCTTCGCAAGTTTGGACCCAGAGTGGGGCGCTATGATTGCGCCGAAATAAACACATGAGTCGAGCCTCGCATGCGTCGTATGCGCTAGTTGACAAGCAGCGGCGCGTGGGAGGCAGGCGGGGTGGAGGAGGGGTGGGAGGGGGGGACGGCACGGATACAGTCGGACTATTCATCCTGTGGGGAGGTCGGTCTTTGTATGCATGCAGGATGGGCCTGGGGCTCGTGTGTTCTGCAAAAGTCATTGTGATCGGAATCGCATTAGCCGCCATGTGGCAGGCCGTAATCCGCAGTAACGTCTCAAGTTTTCCGAGCGGTTTCACGATGGAATTCCAGGTGCGAAGCGGCACAAACACCAACGCATTCGGAACGCAGCATACACGAACAGTTTGTCGGTGTGGTTCTTCTAGCTGCTATGAGATGGAGAGTTTGGAGAACAAGCCATGTGTTCGGGGCAGCAATAGCGGCATCATCTCGAATGGGTGCACCAAGCGATGCATCATATTGTGCAACGCGCTGCGCCAGGTTATCCTGCAAGCACCCGGTGCGCAAAATAGGATGAATTGTAACAACGTGTTCGGGGTGACAGAGACCATTATGTGATATGGGATGTGCCATTAGTGCCTGCGTGTCCCCATCTGGCCCCGATTGCGCGTGTCGCTGAACGGCAGACACGAGCGACCAGAGAACGCCGGTAAATGAAAATATTTTTCCTACTCAGGCATCGTCCTCCTGTTTATCCTCCTCCCTCTCCTTCTCTGCCCTTCACCCTAATCCGCCCCCTTCCCTCGTCCCTCTTCTCCCCCCCTCCGGTCTTGGTCGAGGTGCCACGTGGCATTCCCTCTTCACAATGATCCTTTCCCCACTCTTGGCCACGAGGGCGGTCTACTGCGAGAACTGGCCGACGCAGTGCGGGGCAGCAGCGGCCATGTGTGGAAAGCTGGCGGGCGACATCCGCCTCGTGCCCGTCGAGGATCCCTTGCCGTAATGCTTTGCGCGCTGCCGATCACGACGCGTTTCGTACAGTTGTCGTGTTTCGACTCAGTAGTTTTTGGGTCATGTGTGAAAGGTGTGCCATGGAATTGGGGCCGGGGCGGATTTGAGGCCTGATGCGGGATGCCAGCGGTTGAGTTTGGACGTGGCGGGACGGTTTCTCGCAGGGATCATTTTTGCTACCAAGGGTAGAGTCACCGAGATGATAGTCTAGCGCGCGCGCGCCAGCATCGACTGGTTTCATCATGCCATTGCCACGTGTGGCAGGTAAGAGCCGAGGGTTCTTTTGGGACGCGGAGCTAATGCAAGTGTGCGCACAGCAAGCATGGGTTTCGGATTACTCCCGTCAAAGAGTCCCGCGCGCAGTCTCTCTGGCAATTCCACATCGATCCAGATCGTCTTCATCGTTGCTGCCTGACGCTTTGTGCCTATTCTCGCTTCCTCCTCTCGTGTGATCCCCACCTGGCTTGCTCTTCTCTCTCGTCCTCGTCCTCTTCTCATGGAGGGATCGAGTGGCAGGATGAAGAAGAGTAGGAAGAGAGGAAAGAGGCCTGCCCTGCCATCCCCAATTATTGCCCGCATGGGCGCGGAGCGCCCTCGCAGTGACGACACCCTGCGTGTGTGTGCAGGGCCCACTCGGGTACCAGAACGTGCTCCAGAGCTTGCCTGGCCCCATAGCCCCACACAGATACACTACATCGGGGGAGGGGGAGGGGGACAGATCGCGGAATGAGAGGAGATGGGGATATAAATGAGTGAGTGGAGTGGGCCGAGGCGCAGGAGGATTGCGAGGAGGGGAGTTGGACGAGGAGGAGAATGGAGTAGGAGGGGCAGATGGAGGACGAGGAAGGCGAGGAAGAGGATGAGGAGGAGCCTGAGGCTACGAGGGGAGATCACGAGGAGGCTGGAGGAAGACGCAGAGAGGAGAGGGAGGAGGAGGAGGCAGAGGAGGAGGAGGGCGAGGCCAGGGGGAGCAGGAGCATGATAAGGTTACGCGGAGGAGGAGGAGGAGGAGGAGGAGGAAAAGGAGGAGGAGGAGGGTGACGGGGATGGATCAAGAGGATAATGGACGGGAAGCGGCGGGAGGACGCAGAGAGAGGGAGGATGAGGAGATGCGGGAAGAGGAAGAAGAGGGAGGAGCAGCGGTAGGGGGAGAAGAGGACAAATAGGCGCAGAGGCAATCAAGCTCGCGAGGACGAGCAATACGCAGCGTGATACGGGGACTAGCGGAGGGGATGACATCAACCAACAACAATAATGGCGTAGCAGCGTCGATCCAAGGGGGGGCTGGGCGTAGGCGTTCGCCGCCCCCGGGAGAGGACGTGCCGGAGCACGACGTGCTCACCGCGGGGTTTCCGTGCCAGCCCTTCTCCGCGCTTGGCGAGCAGATTGGGCTGCCATGGGCGGACGAAAGGGAGGAAACGTTGGCGGAGGAGTAGGCGGACGCACGCGGAAGATACACCCATCTTGGCCAGGCCCATCTTGGGCCAAGCATCGGTGTATACGCCTTCTTGGCCGGGCCAGGGCGGCGCACAGGTGTATGATTGGTATGCTCCTGGAGGAGTTGAAGGAGGAGGAAGGAGGAAAGGACGGACGGCGGATGTCCTTGCCATGCACTGCCATTTGGTTAGGAGGAGGGGGCGAGTGCGGACGGAGGGCAAAGATGCTTCCGAGCAGCACTTGGTGCACTTCGAAGCCGCCAGGAGTCCCTGCCCGCGCGGCACTCCACCAGTTCCCATGCTGGGGGGGCTGCCGGGTGAACCCCTCCCGGGGGGCTCAAGGCCGGGCGCCCCGCGCATTTGCGGCGGGCGTCAGATTGAGAACCCCCTCCCGAGGGGAGGGTGCGCAGGCCAGGCACTGGGGCGCCCGCCTGCGAGCAGGTGCCCGGGCCGGGCGGCCTGGCCGCGCGCGCGGCCCCGACAGCGCGGGTCAGAGGCGACGATGGGGGCGAATTGCCCAGAGGAGAGCAATGCATGTATTCAAATATGCCGATGATCTATGTCTTCGGATCGGCTCCCGGGCGAATGCGTGGAATGCCCGCCCCTGGGCTATTCGCCCCTATCGTCGCCGCCGAGCGGGTCTCGTCAAGCCGAGCGGAAGGAAGGAAGGAAACCAGGAGGAGGTGGGGGAGGAAGAGAGGAGGACGGAAGGGGGATGTCAACCTCGGAAAGAGCGCGTCCTGTGGTCGCTAGGAGGGGGAAGGGGGTTTGGAACCGGACCCCCCCCCTCCTTGTCCCCCTTCCCCTACTTTTCCTGTCTCCCTCTCCTCGGGCCGGCGCCGGCGTCGGCGGCGGCTGGCGGCGGCGGCGGGGGTGTTGGTGGTGGTGGTCGTGGAGGTGGTGGTGGTGGTGGTGGTGGTGGTAATGGTGGTGGTGGTGAGGTGGTTTGTGGTGGTTGTGGTGGTGGTGGTGGGCTGTGCTGCTGGTAGTAGTAGTGGTGGTTGTGGCGGTGGTGGTGGTGGTGGTGATGGTGGTGGTAGTGCTGGTGGTGGTGGGTTGTTGTATTGGTGATGGTGGTGGTGGTGGTTAGCTGTTGTGGTGGTGGTGGTGGCTGTGGTGGTTGTGGTTGTGTGGTGGTTTGGTGGTGGTGGTGGTGGTGGGTTGAGGTTGTGATGGTGGTGGTCGTGGTGGTGGCGGTGGTGGTGGTGGAGTGTGGTTTGTGGTGGTGGTGGTGCTGCTGCTGCTGGTAGTGGTGGTGGGTGGTGGATGGTGGGTGGTGGTGGTGGTCGTGGTGGCGGTTGCGGTGGTTGTGTGGTGGTTTGTGGTGGTGGTGTTGGTGGTGGGTTGTGGTGATGGTGGTGGTTGTGGCGGTGGTTGTGATGGTTATGGTGGGTTGTGGTGAGTTTCGGTGGTGCTGGTGGTGGTTGTGGTAGTGGCGTTTTTGGTGGTGGTGGTGAGGTGGTTTGTGGTGATGGTGGTGGTTCTGGTGATGGCGGGTTGTGTGGGTTGTGGTGGTGGTTGTGGTTGTGGTGGTGACGGTGGTGGTGGTGGTGGTATGGTGGTCTATGATGGCGGTGGTGGTTGTGGTGTGGCCTTCGGCTCTTCCCGCCACTGTGTGTTGGCAAAGTGTCAGAGTTCTAAAGGATGCCTCTTGAGGTCTCGTCAGAAGGGTCTCGGGGGCGTCTGAGGAGCATGCGAAGGGTCGATATGGCGGTTCGTGTGTTCCCTCTGCGGCCTCAGGGCCCTCTCTGAATCGTCGCTGCGTCCCCTCCGTCGGCGCTGCTGGCCGCCGCCAGCGCCGGCGCCGGCGCGGAGGGGGGGGGGTTTTGAACCCCCCCCTTCGTGGGCTTTCTCTGGTCATCGTCGCTGCGTTGGCGCTACGGCGGCCGCCAGCGCCGGCGCCGGCGCCAGGAGGGGGGGGTTGGACCCTCCCCCCTTTGGGGGGGGGGGATTCGGGAGGGAGGGGGTCAGGGGGGAGGGAAGTCCCCCTGGTTCTGATCGACGGTGCCGAGTGTTGGGGGAGCCACCCCCCAGTTCGAAACGCGCCGCCGAATGTTCCCAAAGCAAACGCCCGTGAAGCGCGCTCTCTTTAACCTCGGCTTCACTGGGTATCCTCCAAATGGCCGCAGTGCACGTGCAAATACCGTAACACCCCGCAATTGCGGATAAGAGTGAGGGGGCGGGCGCGGGCGACGCGGGCGTCGAGCCGCCGGACATCGTGGATAGGGCCAAGTTGTTGGCAGAAGGAATTCGACAGGACCTTGATCAGCAGTCTTTGAACATGTACGTTGCTGAAGGCTTACTTGGAGATTTCCTGAAGGATCTTGAAACTGCTTTGAAGGCTGAAAGCTCCAGGGGCACCCTCGGCTCCATCAAGTCCTGGAAGGAATGGGTTCGAAGTCAAGGCAGCTCTGTCTCCTGGATGCACAAGTGGACCAAGTGGAAAGATGTGTGGAAGCCTGGGGAGGTGCTGCAGCGCTCGGGCCAGTGGTCTGTGCAGCCGACCAGCATCGTCAGGGCGGAGGCGGATAGGCTGGAGCGGCTCTGGAAGGGGGATGCCTACCCCGCTGCTCCGTGGCAAGTGAATCATGTTGATAGGAAGCCTGTCCCCTTGTCCACCCCAGATGAGCTGAGGAACGTGTGTGCTGCTTTTAGCTCTAAGACGTCCCAAACGTTTGACGGTTTCCATCCCCGTCACTATCTGATGTGCTCTGACCAGCAGTTGGGAATCTTCGCCAGGCTTCTTAGATGTATCGAGCAGCACGGGCAGTTTCCCTCTGTCTTGCAGGCGGTTGTCACATGTCTCATACCCAAGCACAAGCCAGGCGCGGTCAAGTGTCGTGGTATTGGTCTGTGCGTGTCTCTGTATCGTGTGTATGGCAGGCTACGTCAGTGTGTTGCTTCGTTGCTTGTGTCACCAGAAGGGTGTTTCCATTCTTGAGCTCGTGTTCGTGCAAAACTTCAAGGCCGAAGCGGCTAGCATGTCTGAGAAGAAGATTCACACGTCGGCTGTGTTGTATGGAATGAGTAGTTTCTATGACCATATCGACCTTAACCTTCTCTGGACCAGGGCCGAAGACACGGGGTTTGACATGCAGGTCCTTGCCGTGATCCGCAACATGTACCGTGCGAAAAGGTTTTTCCAGATGGAAGGTTATGCGTTGGAATCCTCCTTCCCTATGCAAGGCAGTTTGGCTGGGTGTCCGTTCGCTACTTTCCTGGTGCAGGTTTATTCCTATGGGCCAGCTCCAGCAGGTCTTGGGAACGTCTGATCTTTTCCTCTTCATCGACGACTGGGTGATTCTGAATCAAGATTCGGACCCCAGATCCCTTGTCACTAGAATTGTCGAGAGCTCGACCCAGGTAATCCAGCTGATCCAGGATGACTTGCAGTGCGCAGTTGCTTATGATAAGTCTGCTGTCGTTGCCTCTTCGGACAGTATCAGGCATGATCTGGCCAGGTCCATGGGGAAGTACATGAAGACCAAAGAAATCTGAGCTGCAAATCTTGGTGTGGACACCACGGGAGGCCAGCTCAGATGTCGCAGAGGTGCCACCCGGTTCTTGAGGGAAAGAATCAAGAAGTTGAACCGTCGCAAGCGAAGACTAGCAGCCATAAGGAAGGGAGGTGCCAACATGCAGAGGGTGTACCTCGCAGGTATCCAATCCTTCGGGTATTATGGGGCCGAGGTGGTGGGGTTGGGCGCAAGGGAAGTTGCAGCAGCGCAGTCTTTCTTCTTGCAGACAGTCGGAAGCACGTGTCCATCCAGGTCCCGCACGTTGTCGCTTCTCATTCTCCAGGACCCCACTTGCAGACTTGCCCTGGGACCTGTCATCACCTGGGCGAACTTGGTTTGGAAAGCAGCGACCTGCCCTGGATTCGAACCCTCGCTGCCACGGCTGAGGGAGTTTGCCTCGGACATCCTGGCAAGGCCGCCGAGAGCTTGGAACCAGGTTGAGAGACCTCTCGGAGCTGCTGTGGTCTCTCTGCTTAGAATGTCCTGGAGGTTTGTTTCCCCTTTTGTATTGGAGGACCACAAGGGTCAGGAAGTTGTCCTAAGTAGCGCGTCTCCCGCCAAAGTTCTTTGTGATCTCAGGGCTGCGTGGATGCACATGCTGGCTGCGAAGGCCGCTAGCAAGTTCGGACACCCTGGAGAGATCCTGGACACGACTGTCTGTTGCCAACTACTCTCCCCTGGAAGTGTCCTGTCGTATGCAGAGAAGTGCATGTTGAAGGCGTTTGTTTCACAGTGCTTGTGGTCCAAGTGGCGCCTTGCTAAATGTGGTTATGAGGTGGCAGATTTTGTCATGTCCTCTGTGTGGTTTTTCTAAGGGTGATCTTCACCATCGCCTGCTTGCCTGCTCTGCTACTCTCAGTGTCAGGGATGAGTATCTGAAGGGGGACGTTTTGGGTTACATCTCCCGTGAAGATGAGAAGAACCCTCTCATGCTTGGCTTCCAGTTGGTTCCTGAGAGCATTCTGAGTCCGCCCGATGACCTGGGGCATGAGAGTTATACTTTCTCCTGTGTGGACCCCGACCTGGCCCCCTTGGAGGCGCTCAGAGACAAGATGTGCTTTCATGACGGGTGCTGTTTCAAGGAAGGTCACAAAGTTCATCACTGTTCTGGTTGGTCATGTGTCTGTCTCCAGGAGGATGGGGAACCTTTTGCTATCATATCGGGCAAGGTAGGGGCCAAGCTGCCACGGGCGAGTCCTGCTTCGGGGCATGTTGGGCTTCTGGCAAGCTGCAAGTATGCTAGCTCGGCGTCAGAATTCTGCACGGACTACAAGAGGCTCGTGGCAGTGAACGAAAGGCCCTTGGAAATGGTTGCTGACAGAAGGTCGTATTATGCTGGGCCCGTTTCCTTTTGCTCTGAGCCACCTGCCCAGGAAAGAAGCCATTGCCATCGCAAAAGTGAAAGGCCATCAGAGTGCTGATTGTTTCGAGCCTTT